GCATCCAGACAGTCTCTCAATGAAGACTGGAACGATGCCATAATGACACCTATCCACAAGGCAGGTTCTAGGCAGCTTCCATTAAATTTCAGCCCGATAAGTCTGGCTAGCACTGTGGCGAAAATCCTAGGAAGAGTGATCAAGAAAACCATCATAGTCCACCTAGAGTGCAACACTATTGTCTCGTTCACAGCACGGTTGTCGTAGAAATTTCTCCTGTTTGACGAGCCTTCTTACAGCTAGAGAAAGTTGGGTTAAGTCTAAAGATGATAGGATACTTGTTGATGTCATTTTCATTGACTTTAGTAAGGCGTTCGACAAAGTACCTCATTCCAGGTTGCCCAGAAAACTGGGAAGTTTTGGAATCACTAGCAGTCTACTCGCATGAATAAAAGACTTTCTTGTTGGTATAGGGCAAAGAGTTAGGATCAACTGTCAACTGTCCACTTGGAAGTCAGTAGAGAGTGGAGTGCCGCAAGGCACAGTCCTGGGCCCCCTACTGTTTCTCCTATAAGTAAATGAGCTGGCAAATATCACGAAATCCCCTATGGTTCCCTACGCTGATGATGTAAAATCTGGTGAGAAATTAGGAACGATGAGGATATGCGTGCGCTCCAGGCAGTCCTGAATAGCTTGTTTACCTGGTCAGATAAGTGGTTGATGCCTATCAATACATGTAAATACGTGAGCATGCACTTGGGTCACACACGCAGCAACACCTGCGATATTGATGGGACTCATTTACCGTCAGTACTGACCGAAAATGGCCTAAGAGTCACGGTTAGTTATGACTTTAAAGCCACGGGTCACTGTCGATTGGTAGCAGCTCGGAGTTTTAAGACTGTGGACATTACGCAGAACGTTTACGAAAATAAGTGGTTACATGTACCCCACCTCATGCACACCCTTAGTTAGGTCTAAGTTAGGAAACTGTACACAGGCGGCTAATTCTTATCTGAAAGGTAACGCAGACCTTCTAGAAAGAGTTCGCAGGGCAGCCACTTGTATGATCACTGCGATGGCCGACCTCACCTATGAAGATCGACTTAAGGAGCTGAACCTCTTCACTTTGTCGTAACGCAGACAGAGGAGATATCTAATTGTGCTATTCAGGATTATAAGAAATGACTTCGGACCTGATCTATCTTCTCTTTTTCTTCCCACTAGGTCGGAACACCTCAGAGGACATAGTAGGAAACTAAAAAGGAAAGAAAGAACATAGTCTCCTCAGGGTGCTGGTTCTCGCATAGAGTAATTAACGCCTGGAACCGACTCCCAGAAGAAGTTGTGTCCGCATTATCAATGGGCTTGTTCAGAAGAGGATTAGACAAGCACAGAAATCTGCTGGAAAAAGATCAATATAGGCTCCCAGCCTCCTATCCTCAAACAACAAATCGTAATCTAAATCTGAGCAACAAATACCACGGAGGAGGATAGAGACTGCTTAATCTACGAGAGATTATGTCTGCCGGAGCAAAAGACCCACGCTTAGCGGTGCGGTAACAGTGTGACGACATTCACAGTTTATTGAGTACACAATCACTGGTAAGCATAGTGTCATAATGCAGGATGGCGGTTTCGTGAAGTGCGCTTTGAAATCATTATAGAAACAAATGAACTGGAGATATTCCCCGGGGTAGGTGGGGTCTCCGCACCTGTTGATAGAATATATGAGGAAGAGAAGACGTGCGTGAAAAGTTTTAGTGTTTACTGCCAAACAGATCAAAATGAAGGAGAAAGGTAAAAGAATAGCTTTAACTGAAACCACGGAGGCATCTTTGTTGGCAGAAAAGACAAGAGAAGCAGAGAGGGAGGCTCGGGGAAAACTGGTGATGATGACTGAGTTAAAATTGACAACTACCAAGGTCAGTGAAGTCAAGTTGGGAGTTGTTACCCGGAGGTAGTTTAAAATAATTTTGCGTGTTACGGTACATCCATGTTAATGGAAGGACATAACCGAGGTCCCTCACGATATCAGATGCACGACGTTTAACCACGGGGCTTCCTGGTTCGTCGGGACTGGCAAAGAACCTGAATATCTTTTTCAGACGGTTAGAGGGCAATTGTTTTTCGCAACTTGCGAAATATGTTGATAAAACCTTGAACATTAGGCTTTCACTCACAATGTATCTTTTGAGGATGTTAAATCCTCAAAAATGAGGATCTTATGCAGAAATTTCACTACATAGGAGTGGACTCCTGGAAAAGAACCCCCGGTTTCACCCTCGATGGTCGTTTGGTTCCTCGAAAAACGAATAGCGGCGAGAACGATAAGGGTTGTTTGTTCAGTCAAAGTATGTAGGACAAATTGCGACTTATATACACTTGTTGAGGACCCTCGAAGGTTCTAAACTTTACCAAAGCGTCCTTTGACCAATGTTAGTTTCACAAGTGTGATTGTGTGGTTTGTTGAGGCGTGACGTGGTTGGCTACAAAGGCTTTTCTACCTTTTTGAAGAAACTAAAAGGTATTTTTGACCCCATGAAAGTGGAGAAATGACCAGAGTTCTATTAGATGTAGCTTACATCCCGTGGCTCTAGAAAAAACAAATCCGTCGGGCAGGGGCGACCTTGTTGACAGTGAAGTTAGTGTCCACTCTGGTGAATCATAGGTGGGATACTTTTGAAATAGGTTTGGTGATCGGCTAGGACGTTCCATCAATAAGTAGTGGTTCCGTCATATTGCAAAAGTTGTCAGGTGCAAACCCCTTACATCCAGTGAAAGTGGATCGAATGAGGATGAGAAAGAATTAAAGCGGATGTAGGGATGAAATACGGACAAGAGTGGCACATGAATATGAAGATAAAAAGTTCGTGAGGAACATTTCGGAAGAATGAAGAATGCCCTTCAGTCTAGTCCCATGCACAGGCACAGGCACACGCACAAAAGGCACATATCAGTGGACTGTTTCATTTCATTTGTCACAACCATATTCAGACTATGTGATGGAAGTCATAATAACGAATTCATAAAATTTTTAGAAAATTCCTGCCACTTCGTTCACTTCTATTTCGCACGCTTGTTGTTTGAATATGAGTGCTACCGTGTTGGTATAACGACCAAATTAAAATTTAGCAGATATTCCGTCGATCACACACTTTAAATGTATAATCATAGAGGTGACTGAGGCGAGTGTCAGATACATTATCCCGTACAATTTAGTCACACAGACCAATATTCCACACTATCGTATAAGGCTGTACTTAGATACCAACACCTAGGTAGGTAAAAGAGTGGTGTAAACAAACTAAGCTAGCCCAATTACACTGATAAGGAAAAAGACGGTACGATAGACCACAACACAAAAGCAATTGTAACAGACTGAAAGGCAAAGCATCGCATAAAAACAGCCTAAAAGCTTGAGAAAGAGATGGCAGGTATGGTGGTGGGGACTGCCCTCATCTGAGGTCTTTAGACCTACGGTGGCAGAAAATGGGTCTTCGAGAATGACGCCAAATACCTTGTAGCCAAGGTTACATTCCTAAAATCTTCAAATGACAGCTCATAGTTTCAACCAAACCATGTTGCCGACAAAAAATGCATCAAAACAAAAAACGAAAACAATAACAAAGACCAACTGCCATTCAGGCAATAAGCCGCTTAAACTCTCAGTATGCACCTTGTAGCTGCCATTTTCTTGAGTTAACAGTGGCTATCTCCCTCTTCTTCCACAACCTTACCTAAGCATACCCGAGCCCACACCAGGGCTCAGATACAACCAAAGTCACCATATTTAGGTATTTACAAAATAGCTTGGGTTTGAACTTGGGGGAAGCGCTCTGTAAAACTGAAAAGGTATTCCATGGACAAAATCTTAAGCCGTGTGGCCACTTATTCCCCACTCCCTCTTAGCAAATTCTTATCTTTATTTGTGTTTCCACAAATTCTGAAATGACTTACGTCACATCTCAGGCCTCCATGTTTCTCTTTCTCGCCCATTTAGCAGATTATGACCACGGTCCGTACCAACATGCACAGGACAGAAACAAAGTTCGTATTTCCATTCCATATCTGTGAACTACTGTTTCTTGCCCTCAAGAAATAGAAAAATCAGAAGGCAATTCCCACCCCACTACAAGCTCCTTTGCTAACGAGGTCGAAAGTCAGAGGAAACGCCTAAACTTCAGAGAACATCGCATGAGACGAGAAGGATAAGTACACACGCTTTCTATCCGATGATGACAATGCGGTTTCACAAAGATTAGCTTTAGATTGGAACAAGACAATCGATATTTGTGTGTTTATAGTGATGCATCACAAAGAAGATCGAGCCGGTAAAGACGGTAAGAATTCATGTACACTAAGTAGTGTATGATAAACACTGTCGTGGCTACAAACAGTAAAGATTATGTAGATTAGGAAGACGTGGTTGTACTGTATCAAGAAGTAAGCCTTCTCAATAACCTACGGCTCAAGGATACAAAACATTGGCTTTAACTTCTATAGTTTCAACGTATCCGTTTAACCAAAGGTACACAGCCGTGTGTATATGTTGTCGGACGGGCTGTGGTGTCACTCCTTCGCGAACGTCTGGTCAATTGGCCCACAATCTCAGTTTCATTGTGTGAACAGGAAAATACTATCCTTCTTGGTAACCTAAGTCATGCTCAAAAGACTAAAGGTTTGTGCCGGCGTTTGTTGAAATTATGAGTATGACTTCTAAAATTGCATTACAAGCTGATTGATATGGCTGAGTCAGTCCTGCAGCTAAAAACGAAGTTGTGTTTTAACAAGCACTCCCGTAGTTTGTGTGAATAAGTGAATGTTAATTGTGAGGTTGTCTTCATGAGGAGGTGCCGATGAAGAAACCATCCAGTTCGAAGCGTGCAATATCTTTCCAGAAGAAAGAATCGACGAAACTGTGTTACTATACGCAGAAAGCATATCACATTTAGTCTGTTAAGTTCTTTTATTGTTAGGATTGTAGGACACCCATGTAACTTGTTTTAACTTAGTGATTTTTCTTATCACCGCTTGCGGACTAATTTAACTACTATCAAATGAGTGTAGGTGTTGACGAAGAGTTTAAAGCAATTCTGTCTCATATTAAGCCTTTATGTACACAAACGAAGAATGGAAAAGGTTTACAACTGAGTTCATTATTTCAATTATCTTTAGACAGGTCACACATTAGCTCCTTAATTAAAGAAATTTTGGACTTGAAGCGTGATGATTTTGAGAAGTAATTCCGGTGACCACACATCTATTGCTCATAGAATACAGAGAAATGAATCGGCAAAGTCACTTCTGCTTAAACTCAGACTAAACAGTGGTCTTAGAGAAATGAACGATGTACTGAAGTTCCAATTGAGTAGGGGCGCGGTAAAAGTAAGTAAGTAAGTATGCTTAATTTACGAGTCTCTCGGCATTGGAAAGTGCCTATAGCTACGTCGTACAGCAGTTAAAAATGCTAGCACTTTTCGGTCTCAGCTATTAGCTTGCATGGTAAATTCCTTCAGGATTTCAGTGGTAGTTAGGTTGAACAGCTTACTAGTTGATTATCTAACTCGAATTTACATAACGTCTAACCAATCGTCAGTTTAAATACAACTACAGAGTAGACGACTTTCTTTCATTTGGATCTATAAAAAGCCTGAGGCCGTTCCGCAAGACCTAGAAGTGTTCAAGAAGAAATCAATTGGTTGTTGCAATCTCGTATATACAGATGTTAAATATATTGGATATCGAACTCTCAGAGAGCAGGTTAAGGTTCATTATACAATGGAGTTTGCATTAAAATCCCAGATTCGACATGTTCGTAGTTAATTACTTATCCAGACCAAGTTGGAGTCCTCTTTATTTGGCTATATGCATCTGGCAATAATGAAGGCATAATCTTTTGGTGCCTTTCATCTTCTTCTTATCTGAATAGAAGCTTTTGAGTATCCTACAACTATTTGCTAGTTCACTTGTTTTGTTACATAAAATCGTGAAAGTTTGTCTTCTTTTCTAGCTTGGTGTATTCAACAGTTCCAAGACAGACCAAAATCCGGAAAAAAATGTCAGGACTAATTGTGCAGAAGATCAACCACACATAGCACCGAAATATTCTTCGTTATGCCATCCGAAGAAAGTGTTGTCGAGCAAATTGTCATTATCTAAGCGAAATCCAATTTTTAGTTCAAAATCCTTACTTAAAATCAAGCAGTCCATTGATCATGGTAATTTGGGTAAACCACCAATAGAAAGCAGTAAAAATCCTAATAATAATAAATTCAAAGGAGAATTAACACGAGGGATGAGAACAAATGATAACCATGAAGACTGGATCTCCGAGGAAAACAACTACTCTGAAATCGAAGATAACAACGCTAACCGTGAGAGGAACTTAAACGAGGACGTAATTGAGGATTGTGAAGAGGAGGAAGATGAAGAATCGGATACGCATTCAACAGATAAAGAATTGGACAACACTGGCGTACAGAGTTCTAAACGATATTTACCAAGGGTAAAATTGACAAGATTATTTTATTGTTATTCACAGAAAATGTTTAAGGTCATGCTGGTTATACATTTATAAATATGTGCAGATGTGAACAAATATCTTATTGATGTCTCTTGTACTGTTTCTATCGATAAACTGTAGCAGTTCATACATAGTGTGCTGTTGCGCACCAGCAATATGCTCGACATGAAGACACTAGTATCTTTGTTCACATTAGATATAGATATCGTTTGAAGGCTATATATCAAACTAATGGATTCAAGCTTTATGATTATTATTATAGAAATGAAGATCGATGAAAGTCGACGATTAATTATTTGTTGTTTAATGTAGTCATGAAACTTTGGAGCAGTACACTTTTGTATCTTCCTAAATCTGCCGAATATACCACACTAAAACTAGTACCAACGATTAAAATTGACAAGTGATTTGTGAATAGCCAATTTCATGTTGTCTATTCCTAATTACTAACCTATACCAATCGATCATTTATTAGTGTGGTTACCAAGATAGAAGACAAAGCATAGCTACGCATTTTGATCATTGCTATTGGATAAGTCACATTTATATGACGAAAGTGAGGAATAACTGGCTCAGTACCTTAGAAAGTTTATTTCTGAATTCAGATCTCCAAAGTCACAAACGGGATTAAATGAAGTTTCGTGATCATATTATATTGAAAAATTTTTAAGTGGAACTAGGTAACGAGCCAACAGGTAAAAAAAATCAAATAATGAGGATTCGTGATGAGACTTTGTCTGACCTTAAAGGTGGTCTGATTCGTGGTACTTATCAAATGTTTGTTGTTTCTGAAGGTAAAAAGAAACAGCATCACCTTTTTCTAAAAACGAATTGTTCAGGGAGCTGTGTACAGTTTCTGCAGATAGTTGAATTTCCATCAATCAAACAAAAGTGAAATAAAACCATTACATTTCGATTGCTAGAGAAAGTTGAGGGGAAAGAATAAATGGCAGAGAAGGCTCAATGAAGTTTCATGGAAAAATGTAATAACTAAATCAGTATTATAAACAATCCACTGGATTCATCCTAATTTAATACGCTGATGTGTAATCCTTAGTATGAAATATACTGTGAGAATTATTTTGGCATCCTTTGGCTAGTACCAAATTATATACCGCGAAAATAAGACTACAATTCATCCAGATTACTTTCTATGTTGTTTGAAAGCTATAAGTTATTCCTTTTGTGGTCCAGCGCTCTTGTACATGACAAAATTAGCATCCAAAAAATTTTCATCATCTGATTAGTTCCAACCACATCCCAGCAGAATTAGGATTTAATTTGTAGATATTCATGACGAGATAAGTAATATACCAAAATGATCATATTGCATGGCAGCCAACTGATAGTTATTTTGTAAAAATAATTGAAAATGTTGAATTTTTACTGCATGTAGCTATGATTTTAACCTACGTAGAGCTTCAGGTAAAACATATGAAAGGTGTATCTTCTCAAACTAAATAAATGTTTCCAAAAAATCAAGGGAAACAGATGCAAAGTTTTGGTTTTTGTTGACTTAAGTCTATCCGTTATTTCAAAAAAATGCATTTAACATAATTATAGTAAATTATCCTCCAACGTTGTTTGCAGAACTGAATTTGAGCGAATGGTTTGAGTTATTCGAAGTTCAACCTCTTGAATATAAAAGTGTTCCCTATTCAGCTATTCAGTGTTTTTCAGACTGCGTTTGGTAGATAGAAATTTCTATGTTACTGATCAAAAACATCTTTCCTCTCTGTCACTAAAATTTGTGCAGTCTGCATTTCACACAGTGAAAAAAGAAAAATATGGTTTACCAAGCATCCGGGAAACTATCACGCGTCTCCAAGGCAAAGAGGTTAGTTTGAGTAGAATACTGATTTTTTCTTGTCATTAAAATCATTTTCAAGATTTGACATGCTGTAAATTCCCATTTTAAACGACTTTAAAGTGGCATGTTGTTGAGTTATTCTTTTTATGCTTAACTGGTAAATGAACTTCTATAATTGTTTGGTCTAGAAAACCGAGAGGATTGAACGATAAAAAAGATATTCTTTCATTCTACTGCAAGGATTCCAATGGTGCTTATTTGAGAATAGCAACTGTATTGTGATTAATGCTAATCGCTTATTAACTTACAAACAACATTTTCGTTATTTACTTTCCGCCAAGAGATTCATTTGGAAGGCATAATCTGTTTGATTTTGAATGCGCTATGTTTATTTGATAAGTCATGTCATCTACCATTCTTGTCACTAGGTATCAAAATGATGTATATGTACCCTTAAGAGAGTTGCTGGTTTTATTTTCTTTAAAAGGAATTTAGTGGTAATGTTAAGTTACTTAGATTGTGACTAATCTGCTCTAAAATTAGATGACAGAAATAGGATCGGTCCAAAGATGGCTGAAAGTATCAACCCTCAATTCCACACTGCACTTTAGGTCTATCATTCAACAAATATGAAATAAAGCAGATTCATTATGATATCCAAAAGCCTTCTGATGACAGTGTCTGAGAGATATTTGAGTAAAATAAAGAAGAGATTTGGTGGTCAGTTGAAGATGCTTGCTATCCTGTGATGAAAAACGTCAACAATAATTTTGACACTTCAATATATACATATTCATTTGGGTTATTGATGCAAAAGGTTACCAGTTCTCTCGGGAAATAGGATTTCTTTATGAATTCTAAAATAATTGAATTGTAAATCTGACGCATTCAGGTTCGAAAACAATTTGAGAGAACCCTAATAGATAAATCATCAGATGCATGCTGAAACATACTTTTAGGGCTTTATACTTGAACTGATTTAAATTTTAGTAACTAGTGTACATAAGTATGGAGAGTTCAGTATACAAATTTCAACAAATTTTGATAATACTTACCCATAAAAGAGCTATTAACAAGTCTATGTGTTTAGCTCGATATAACAATAGATGGCGTAATCAAAGCCGAAGTATTTTTGTGCGTACTGTAAGTTTAGAATCTGATCTAACAGATGACGACACCGTGTAAGTATCCACTATCTTGCGTGATAGTCGTTTTACAGGTGATAAATATAAAGTTAGTTTTTTGACATTTTGCTCATCTTGATCATTTAAAAAGAAATAAATGAATTTGTCACGACATAATCACCGACATAATTTGGTGTTCGTGATATTGGGAGAAGTAAATCTGAATCTTTTTTTAGTCAGACTGACCAAATGTTATATGGCAATTAACTTGTGTCAATCGTTAGTTATCACAGTTTTTTATCGATCTGTCTGTGTACCTGGGGTATACGTACTTCAGTTTATTGTAGTTACATTGTAGTGTTAAATAGCGAACGCAAATGATATTTCCCAACGTGGCATAAAGGGTTTGAATCTCCTTCAGTTTCATTACTTACCAGTATAAAAGCAGTGTTAAGGTTGTGCGTAGACTACTTGATAATGAAGAAAAACCAGTGAAGTGAATATGGACTAGATGAGGTGACTGCTACACGGGTTTTGCGCACTCAGCCACTGCTGGTTTTGATATTTGATGTTGGCCGAACCACGATAAGGTTGGAAGAATAATGAGAGAGATCAGATCAAGAAACGGCACCAATATATGGAATCTCTGACTGTTTATCTAGGCTACGTGAAGAGGTGTGCACTTCTTGGGTGTTATCCTCAAGATGGTAAGAATCGATTGCTCGAGACTGTCGATCATATGATCCAAAGTTAGCTAACATAGCATAAATGAAAACACTCCTTATCTTCCCTGAAATTTAGAACATTTCTTAGCTTTCATTCATTTATTCTTTCTTATGCACTTCTGTATAATTAGATTATTTTTTTTCTATCCACTTCTTTGTGTGCTGCTGTGAAACGCAGCAACTTTAACTGATGTACATACAATCCAGAGTCTACGTCGATTGCCTTGTTCATCTTCGTGAGAGGATAAAAAGATCTCCTTCGATAACCACAGCCAAATCAGCCTGATGAATATAATGTTTAAAATCTTATGTTCTATTATAATTAGACGCTCAGATGCAGGTTACGAAAAGCAGAAGTGAGAAAGTTAGATAGGTTTTATGCCCCATCATCAGTGCACCAAATAGATCTTCACCTTCTGTCACATCATAGAACACAGACAAACTTAGCGGTGCCCGAAACTAGCAGTGTCTCACGACCCGAAGGTGGCATCCGATCCCATCGATCGGTAGGTCTTATAGCCTTATTTTTCACTGAAATGGATTAAAGTTAGGCTTTACAATCAAACACTCATGGGTTTGTCAGAGTCTAGGGCTGGATATCAGGTTAGTTGTTCACGTCAAGTTGCGTTCATCAAGGATGTCCACTCTTTTAGTTGTAATACAACTATGTCACAAACTTGTTTTTGGTTGTCTCCCTCTCCTCATATGATTTTAACGTGATTGAACTTTTCACAGGATACTGTTTAGTACACCTGAGCTACGCTGATGATGCAGCCCTGTAAGGTAAAGGTGGATACAAGCTGCAGAGCCTTCCGGACACATTTAGAGACAGTTTGAAAATGTTTGAGATGCATTTCTTACCACCTAAATGGAAATCGTTACTGAAAATTTGGTTTGCTTTGGGGCCTCGCCCAAAAGTTGAGAGTAAAGTTTTTTAGCGTGTTGATCAGTCCACTTACGTAAGCAGTTGGATCAGCCCTGGTGAGTCTGTGACCAACGAAATCTCCACACCACTATAAAAGCTTGATTGGCTTTTGTCGACTTCTGCTTAGCACGGTACCTGTAAGATATCTGGTAATCTATCAAGGGCAGACTATGATACTCAGCTGCTTATTACGTTCTACTCTTTGGCTACGAAACATGACAACTAGAAGAGTACATGAGAAGGCTTCAGGCGTTCGACCATCTTTACCTTTTATCATTACTTGTTTCCAATGTAACCAAAACAGAAGCAATGTAGAGTCTTAGGTGAAAGTGGCAAGTTATTTGATTAGGTTGTGTGACTTAATCGACTGAGGTGGTTGGGGCATATTTCACACATGCCTAGTCATCTTCTGCCCGGCTGCACAACGTTAGCTGAAGTAAGCTGAAACTGAAAAAGGATTATATGTCACCGGACTAAATGTGATATCAATTCTGAGGTCTTCGTCTGTTGGTCTGAGACATGTAGGGAAGTGTAGACTTGCAGGCTGGGGCAAGCATGACAACCGAAGCCGATGGTTGGAAACTGTTGGTAATATGCTTTGGAATCGATTTCAGTGGTGAACGTGTATCTATAGATTTTCTTCATTCGTTTACAATCCCAACAATTGACTTTCTAGATTAAAAGATTCTATGTTTAAGCTCAGCATGCCTTAATTCCTGGTTTGTTTGTACATCAGCTATTAATTTAAGATACTAGTAGTGGGGTGAGTGTAACATGTAAACGAATATTCTCAGGAATGTTTTTACGATTGAAAATATGTTAAATTTGTAATCTTGTGTCTATTTTTGAAAATACAAATTCTCAAGATGTTACAAAAAGCTCAAGCAATAGAAGCGGAATTTTATGAACGTTTAATTGAACTCAGAAAAGAAAATGAGATTGAAGTAGCAAAAATTGTGAATCGAAAAAACGCCGAATTAATTGCTGTTCAAAAAACTGCAGAATTAAAACATCATGAGCTACGTGAAGCTGTGGATAAATTAGAAAATCAGTTATCTGAGGCCATGAATAATGCTGATCAAACAAAACGCGATTCTGAAGAAAAAGTAAATCAGTAAATTACACTACTTTGGTTTCATTTACTATTCATAAAAAAAAGCAATACAGTTTCGAGTAAGTTTGAATTAATAATTCTGATTTGGAGCACCAATTCATTATGATACTTTCATTGGAATGACGACATAGTGGAATACCACTGCTTGTTAACAGGCCATTTACCCATAAGGTAATTCTGCTAAAGTGGTATCAACCTTTGGATAACCAAACATAACTCTTAGAATTCAATAGATAGTTAACTTTTGCAGAACTTTTCGGATTTTTTCTTTTTGACTTTGGGGGTTTGTGGGGACTCAGAGATTTTTCTTCAAGTTAGTATTCATTATGGGCTGACGTCAGTTGGAGGAATATGGGAAAAATGGGACCAATGGACAGCTGTTTTGTCCTAGTATGGAATTCTTCAGCAGTACACACCCACGACCACGCCAGGAATCGAACCTTCAGGTTCCGTGGCCAGCATGTTACCACTGGGCAGCTGGGTCGGGATCCACTGGTTCATATTTCCAACTTCTGTCAGTTCACGACATAGCACTACCGCCACTCAATGTCATCCTTGAGTATTTGTTCTCACGGCCACCAGGTTTGCCCCACTGGTCACGAATTCACACTGGAACTTCGGAAATCACCTCTCTAAGCTAGTCACCAATGAGCATTAGTTCTTTTTAACAAAGGCTTTCCTTGGTTTCTCACAACTTCCCATGAGAATCACACTCTTGATTCTTTCCACAATGACACCAGTAACATCTTAAAATTATCATATACGCACCACCAAACCATGGTCCACTCTAAATCGACTACACTCTAAAGACTTCATTTTAAGTAATAAAAACCAGTGTAATTAGAAGTTATTTTAGGTAGTATATGTCACAAATGTCGAGAATGTTTAAAAAGGTCTTCAAGTATGGCTTTGCAGTTGTTCTTACTACTTTTTATTGTCTCAATGGCGTATCAGGTTAGATGAAGTTGAGAACCATCCAACTAAGACTATTGACTGTATTCTCTTTCAAATTGGAGTACCAATAAAAGTCATTATTAAGATGATAACTCCATCAATCGTCATCAAGTTGATGCTCATTTGGTCAATAAAAACAATAGACTTAGATGAGTGGTCTTCAAGTTGGTCACTAACTTATCTGTACAGTTAAGACTAAACATGAGCCTTCTTAACTTGCTTCCTTTCTCTTTTTACAGATGAACCAGTTACAATCCGTGATGATAAACAGTTAGAAAATCTTTTGAAGCAATCCAGTGAACAACGTGAATTTCTTATTCGAGAGCACGAAGAAACACTAAGCAGTTTAAAATCAGCTAACGAATCTGCTCGAAAAGAAATAGAAAGGAATAAATTATTGACACAAGAATTGGAATCACAATTAAGAATAGAAGTATGCTGAATTTATAGTTTAATAATTCGATTATATATAAATATCTTAAGAGGAGAAGGAAGAAGAATTTTGGTGACACTTATTACTGATAAAGTAGCTTATAGGATTAAGTAGTTTGGTGTTAAATATTTAGATTCAGACGACAAAACCTCTGCATCGACCTAGATTCCATATTAATTGATAATCATAATTTGAACTTGGGTGGGGAAAAATGCATCCCAAACTGCAACTCAAGATGTTTAGAAGACTCTGGATCTTATCGGTGTCTTTATTTAACAGAACTACGTCATCTGCGTATTCTAGGTCTACCAAAAATTCTCCCGTGATTAGTTTAATCCCTGTATGGTTGGATGTCGAGAAGGAGACCTCCATAAGAACATATATGACAAAAGTGAATAAGAATGGTGAGAGTAGGGATCCTTGACGGACACCACTCAACCTACACAACTCACCCGATATCTCACTATAGACTTTAACACGGCCACAGGTGTTCGAGTAAAGAGCCTTTAATAGGGTGATGTACTTATTCGGTACCCCTTTCAATGAGGGACACTGAAATTAAACTTCTTGATCGATGGAGTTGAATGCCGCCTTCAGGTCAGGCGTGAGCGTGCCTGCGTTCCAGAACCTGATAGTATGAATATTTGGTCGACGCACCCACGACCAGGTCTGAAGCCTGTCTGGTTTTCTCGAGACTGCTTTTCCCGAGCTCCACCCAGGCGTATGGTGATAACAGAACCTAGAGTCTTAGACACTATGTTCGTCAGAATGATTCCTCTATAGTTATCCCAAGAGGACTTCTCGCCCTTTTTGCAGACTCAGATAACCAGTGATTCAGACCATTCAGAGGGGATCATATTTAACTCTCATAGACTAGTTAGCACTTTAGTCCGTCCTTATACACCTCAGGAACTAGTTTATCTGAACCTGCTGCCCTTCCTAGTTTCAGGTGACCTACTGCTTTATCGGCTTCTGCTAGTGTTGGGGGGGGGGGCTATCCCAATGTTTCATGCAGGATCCGACTTGACGGAGGGCAACGCAATAGTAGCTGGAGGCCATAGTGCTCCACCTATCGTCCCAGTTGTCTCTCTTGTGACTGAATCGTAGACCCATCTCTCTCCGCTATAGTCTCACTAACCTTTTACCTTTTCGCCTCGGTTTCCTTAATAAGTCTAAATAATTGTCTGCTGTTACCTATCGCCGCTGCCTTCTCCATCTCTCTAGCCTTCGCTGGCCACCACTGTTCGTGGTCATTGCGTACACTTTTTATCAGGCTTCATTTGTGTCGCATTCGCTTCTCATTGTACTCAGAGCTTTCATGGATGCGTTGGCGTGCATCCGTTAATTCAGGAGAAGCTGCTGATATCCATTGGCTTTCGAAGACGTGGAAGAGTGAATACATCTGAGCCACTAAAACCGATGTGAAGTCATGTTACTAAGAGTTTTCAACAATTGGTTTCTGGGACCCTAGGCAGGTAGTCTACACTTCTATACGTGGCTCACACCAACAATCGGACAATTCAAGAACAGATGCAACGTCTTGTTCCAGTCACACTGAACCTTCTTCCAATTTAGTCCAACCTCTAGCATTGCACGTCAGGGTAGGTGGTGGCTTGGATTTTGCAACATACGTTCAAGCCACATAAGTCACTGAAGGTTCACATCGACAGATTTGCTTGTCATGCTTAGTACCTTTCCCCTAACCTCTACATTGCTCACATAATGGTTCCACCGTTTGTGGTCAATACCATGAAGACGACAATGGGCCAAAACCCGAAATCTCTTCTACTTTTATTGGGGATGTTTCACATTCGCATAACAGGACAGGATAGACTGCAGCACCGTATACTCATCCTTTCATAGATAGTTGGATATCTCGTCAGCCGGACTCACAGATGATACGAGTTGTTAGGTGTCACATGACCTTTCTGTATCCCAGCTGAGATTCTGCCAGCAATCTGAATCAACCCTCAAGTAAAGGAAATGATCGACCCATTCCACCACTTCACTCCCTTCCATTAAAATGAGAGTTGTTACAGACTAGTCGTGGAGCATCACCTCAGTTTTATAGATAAGAAATGCATACATACTGTCGTAAAACCAAAGCGATACAGTCTGGAGATCGTATAGAAACACAACACTGCTTGTAAAGTGTTTGCCAATAGGGTAAATCCTGTTTCTACTTTGTGTAAACCGAATCTACTGAGATACAGTGATATTTATACAAGTGCTATTTGTTGTTTAGTTCAGAAATGCAATCACAAGACATTCCTAAATGAATTTAGAACTGTAGTACTTGGAACAGTTTTAACATCCAGAAATCACAGATATAAATAATTTAGACTTTCTTGAATGTAGATAGAAGTTTTGCTAAGAATAATCATTTCCTGGAAATTGTAAAACAGTTATTTCCTTCTATTAAGCAGGTTCTCATTCAGATGCATATTCAATTACTTCTTGCTTCTAACCAGAACTTCAGATCTCATCAAGAAAACATAACCATTTAGACTCCCTCATTACAAGCAAAATAGGGTTCACAGACGTTTAATAATGTTAGAATAAACACTAGCAAGATATTACTGTCAAAGTGTAAATAAAAATATAGATTTCAACTAAAAAATTGAGATTATAATGTAGGGAGAAACCTGTTTAAAGTTACTTTCGCACTACCTAGTTTGTATGCCTGTTTTATTTTTTAATGTGATCACGGTAAGTGTGGACAGAGTAAAAGTTTACAAGAAAAATTGACAAAGTTAATAATTGAAAGAAACGAAGCACAAGATGCTATGAAGACCGAAATAGAAAAGGAAAAAGAAACATCTAAGAAGCTAAAACAACTGCAATGTGATTTTGATCAAATAAATCAAAGGTAGGTGAATTACAAAATCCTTTCCTCAAAAGTACTATGCATATCTGAATTTTTTGCATGTTAAATATCAGAAAGGATTTATTCATTCAATTTTAATCGATGCACTTAGAGCTTATTCGGTTACTAGTTCAATTTTTAAGGTAACCGTTGTGTTTTTTCAAAGATAAAAATCCAAATATTCGGTTGAAGAAGTTGTGGCATACATTCAGAAAAATCCTGTTTTGATTTTCTAAAATAGCTGCGATCGTATTAGTCTTTAATGTGATAATAAAGAAAACAGGTTACGTTTGAATTGTTGTTGTCTATGCGTTTTACTCTTGAAGTAATTAAAGGCATGCATTCCTTCAAGGCTTCTTACTGTTATACAGATTTTGCACAGGATCAAAGAATTTAAGAACGAAATGCTTATTGATAGACGTCCGACTGCAACTATCAGTCGTTTATTCATCTGATTGTCAGCTTTTCGAAATAGTTTTCGCATTTTAGACGTGTACAAAAGGATGCATATGCGATGTAAGAAGTTAAGGAAGGATTTTTCGTTGAATATTGCCTTCAGGTTGACAAATATTTCAGATGGATATCGCGAAGTTCTAATGAGGAGTCGTGACTTGTGGGGTCAATCAGTCGAAGGGAAGCGGATGCCATCTGAAGAACTTGGGCGATGGTCACGCTATATCGCGAATCAGCAGAAGTTGGAAACTGTGAACCATTGAGTCACTACCCAGTGGGTGAGTGGTTAAAGGGTTCGTCGTGAGAAAAGGATCCTGAGTTCGATCCCTGCTGAGGAGTTATGTGTTAGGACGAAAAAGCTGTCCAGTTCTCCAACTGATCTCCGTCCGTGATGAATACTACCTCAAATATTTAAGACCAGAAATTACTTGTCTACTCAATCAACCCCTCCATCGAATCTACCGTAGTAAATATGCCAAGACGGGTTTATTGTATAAATCATCTATCATTTCCGCTAAAGTTGCCAACCCACTGACCTGAAAATGGTTATTGAAGCTCGTTGTTGACTAAACTGATAATAACCATGTTAAGTTGAAAGCCGAAGTTTTACGTTTTTCGGTTTGCTAACTAGTAAGGGATATCATTAAAAGGTTGAAAGTACTAGTTAATGTGATCCGATTTAATACAGAATCTTATATCCACGTATTGATTATTAAAGGAGGTCAGTCAACTGCTTATAGTCTTAGAGAAATAAGCAATCAAATGAACAATCTCCTCGGTAAATTGTGAGTTTTATTGTTCCATCACTACTGAGATGTAATTCGATCTCACACCTTATTTTTGTAGGTTATTCATTAAAGTTGTGAGTTTCTACTCAACACTCTTTACTGTTAGTGAATCTCATACATTTTTATCATGAATTACTAACTAGACATCATTCCCATTGATTAATGCCGAAATTTAATACGCATCAAAGTAGTCTGTATGATTGGCTGGTAGCAAATGTAGAGTCTCTGAAAACATATAGCACTGAAAGGCTGTTTTGTCCTAGCCAGGAACTGCGTAGTATTGTCATCTCCTAACACCATATAGGACTAAGCATGAGACTGTCAGGTTTTGCAGCACCACTTTCCAATCTCAGTAACGAGGTGGACATCAACTAATCAACTAAATAACTTATAAAACTCCATAAAATTTAAATTACTGAATTAGAGGGAATGAAGTCGTTCATTTTAAAAAATTAAATCGTTAATCTGTTGTTTTCAAACTGAATACAGCTTTTAAGTAAATGGATACAGTACATCTTTATGTAAACAGACTGCTTGAAATGTTTTATGAAGTTAAGCGTATGAAGATATATCGAGTCTTCCCGTTTTGATGGTGCTGTGTTCTCTGAAGCTTTTATTGTCATTCCACACAGCACCATCAACACAAACCTCAGAGAGAAATTCCGAAATAAAACTTATTTTAGAATGATGTACTCACTGCAATACAACAGATAGAATAACCAAAGATGTAAATTCTAAATGCACCATCTGATGTTTCATGAAAAATCCCCATTACTTTTTCACTTCATTTCTGTGCAGAAATATAACCTTGGAATCTAGATATAATGCTTGTGTTGAAGATCACCAAAATGAACTGAAACGAATTCGTTCAGATCACGATAAGCGTATAACTGCTATGGAATCGGAACTAACAAAGAATGAAGAAAAGTACAAAGTTAACTTAGAAAATATTAAAAAGGAGGTATTGTTAATCTTTTGAAATCCAGTTTCATCCTGCTTTCATTTTTTTAATTATAATTTGACTATCTAAGATAGCCGTAGTTTGGCAGACTAGTATTTGCACTGGATGATGATTGAAGGTGAGATGAAAATCTGGACCGCGGCCGGATTCAAACCAGTGACCACCTGATTACCGGTCCGGTGCTCTACCAACTGAGCTACGAGGTCCGACTGCTACGAAATGAGCAAGTGGATGTTCTCAATTAGCCTGAAGTAGAACAAATCCACTGACTGTCCTACTATAAACCTGAATCTAACACTTCTTAGTGCATACCTGCGGGGATGTAACACCGTGTACAGAACACAAGCGTGCTGCGTTATAAGCTTCATGACTTTTATTGGGTAAAATACTATGATGGTGACTTCAGGTTGGTATTCATCATGGACGGACTAGGTGGAGAAACACTGGAAACCTGGGAGAACTGAATAGCTGTTTCGCTCTAGCATGGGACTCTTCAGCAGTGGCCCATTAGGGTTGGGGCCAAAGACCTTCATGTTCCGCGGCCACCACGTTAGCATTAAGCCAGTGAGTCAGATTCCAACGGTCCACAGTTCTGTCAGTTCATACTGGCTAACAAAATCAACGTAAAACCTCACACACAGGTGTATCAGCTCAAGTTTTCACACGCCACAGTACTACACAAAGAAAAGGAGTAATATCAAAGTAGATAAAGTAGTGAGAAAATAAACAATCTGAAGATAAAGTGAGAATATTCAGGCTTTAGATGTCAAAGAGTAAATACACCTACGCCATTGTGACCGATTTCCAGCCATGTCACCAAGATTCCTCAACCGTCGATTCCTTTCGTCTCGGGGGCCCTAAACAGGCAGCCTGCATCTCCTCGCATGGCTTGGGCCGTGCCGTCGTTGAGTATCTGTCCTCATATCTGAATTGGTTGACCCCTTCCTTCACGACTTCTCATTCGAATTTCTGGAATCACCTCTCAAAGTTTGTCACCAATGAGCACTAGATAAATTCGATTCGGAAGTTTGCGGGGATTTATTTATTGATTTCAGGTTGGTATTTATCATCAACATGGACCACTGGCAAGGTTGGGGATGCGAATTGCTGGGGAATCTAATACTAGGAGAAAACAGCTGTCCATTGCTCTCAAGTTTTCAATGTTTCTCCACCGAATGTCAGTCCATGATGAATACTAACCTGGAATTAATAAATAAATCCCCGCAAACCTGCAGACTGAAATATTATGACAGTGATCTTTATTCAGCCGTTGATTTCTACAAAAAAATCAGATGAAGAGTAGGCAAGTTGCTGGTTAGAAACAATTTTTCGAGTGCTAACTGAACCTCACCAGCTCGATTTTCCAAAACATTCAGCTTTGCATGTGTCCATCAATTTGCTTAGCTTTTAAGTATGACAGAAAGAAAGCTTTGGAGCATTGGATTCTGACCCAGTGGCTCAGTGGTAACGCGCTGGCCACGGAACCTGAAGGTCACGGGTTCGACCCCTGGCGGAGTCGCGGGTGCGCACTGCTGAGGAGTCCCATACTAGGACGAAACAGCTGTCCAGTGCTCCCAGGTTTCATTTGTTTCTCCAACTGATGTCAGTCTACGACGAATAACAACTTGAAATATTTCTAAATCTCCACAACTCCCCCAAAAAAATTTAAATGCTGTTATGTCAGTTTACTGTTTTCACTGTCTTAGCATTTCGACTTAATATGCCGAAGCATACTCATGCCTCAAGTTTTTAATCAGATAACAAGTGATAAAAACAATATTAAAAGCTCAGGAAACATACAGGTTGGTCTATTCTGTTGGTAGCCATACTCAACTAAAGATATTTGCTGTCTAGATTCGAAATGGTAATACGGGCTGAGCCTGTAAACCCACTGTTTAATGATCAAGTTCGTAGGTTATCAAGATAGCTCGGCAACTAAAACATAATCGGAATAGTACAAACTTTGATATATGAATAACCCTTTTTCATTATCGAATAGCAGAGGATATATGCAAGATTCAAAAAGCATTGTTTCAACTGCATTGTTATCGGAATAATTAATTAGATCACCAATGTGGGTATGCTGGCCCTTTATATAAAAACAATTTTGAGTGAAATTTCTATTATTTTCATAGAAGAGAATTAAATCATTTGTATTATGAAAACAGAACAAATGAAATACTGAAAAACCTTTATCAGGCTCAGTGACTTTAATCCTTAGTGTAGAATAAGTTTGTTTCATTTGACTTCTATTTGTTGATCGCACCAACCACTTGGATGATTGAGTTTTATGTGAGCTGGTTTGTTTAAGTGCATCTTTTGCATTTTGAAATTAGGTAGAATCGCAATCAGAAACATCAAAAAAATCCAAGCTATTCTTTTTTGCTTTATTCAAAAGTATTGTGACTGATTCTTGTCCCATCCCGTTTATTTCCATTATTGAGCATTGACTTAAGCCGGATATTACTTGACAAATAGAGTTTATGCTGATAGCGGAATACGTAAATGATATCATCTTCTACTGCGATGGTATAATGATGCAGAAACGTTTCTCTGAGAAACCATGGATAACCCAGAGATAGATAACGCACCTTTTTAATCAGCATTCGCAGTTCTTATGTTATTACCTTTCTAATGAAAACGTGAGACGATCCGTTAGCCCATATAACGTACCGCAATGATGATTTGACCATCTTAGTCGATAAACTAATGACTTAAATGATCGAATTATATCATAAAATATAGCATTGGTCCTTTCAGTGATCAGTTACTGTTATTATGTATTTTTCATAACATATCCTTCAAGGTATAAGATAGATGCATAACGTGCTTTGTAGGAAGAAAGTAAATAGTTTGGTGTTCAGAATGAAATAGTCCTTGATTCATTTCCTAAGACAATATTTCACTGTAACACTTCAGTTACCAGTTAAATATTTTGATGTTCACTCACTTCTGAAGCAAACAAAGAGTTTCACAAATTGTTTTCCTGAGTGTAAATAATGAATTTGACTGACTGAAAGAACAGCTGATGAGTTAGTGATGTTATTACTTTCTCCATAGAAATGACAAAAACAAACTGAGTGTAAAGTGTAGAAAGAGTTTTTTAACCTTTGTAATTTGTTGTAATTGTTTGTTGATATACTTGTAATTCTTCGTTGTTATACTGGATTGAATCAATCACCCTTTGTTGGAATATGGACTCATATGTGGGTGCCTCGATATTGTCTGAATATTTTTTTATGGTCATTTACTTGGATGTGGAGAGCAGAGGGATTCAGGACGCATGTTTCGTCCTAATTGGGACTCGTCAGTCGAATTTACCTGTACCTCAGTGAGTGATGTTGTTCCCACTGAGACTCAAACCTCGTAATTTGTCTTAAAAGATAGTCATATAACACTGAGCAAATAAGCACTGAGTCAAATGCAGTTTTAGACTTCTATGACACTTAACTAAGGTGACCCTGATTAGTACTGTTTTTATAATCTTTTTTCTAAAGTTTAATTCTATACTGGAAGAAAATCGTTTATCATATGAACGTCAGTTAGAAACGAAGATTAAAGAAGCTGAAACATCTGGCTATCAAAACTGTTCACGAACTAAGGATGCTGAAATAAAACTTTTGCATCAGAGGATCAGAGAGGCCAGAGAATTAAATGCAAATAATGAAGTAAATTTTTTCGTCATAACTTTGAAATTCAATGTAGATTCTTACCTTTAATTCGTTTTAAGTATTGTTCAATCTCCCCCTGCTTTTATGATATACCATTCTAAGAAATAGGTATCAATAATACAGGTGATTCGCATTTCATCAACAAATGAATAGATCTTCGATATACATGACTTAATTTAGACTTGCATTTCACTCTTATCTGTAAAGTCTTACACCATCCAACCTTTAAGATATATATCTAGAAATGAGCCTTGGAGATAGAAAGCATTCAATGTGAGCTGCATAGTAAGACGGATACTACCTAGTTAGGTTTCTCGAGATAATGAAAATCAATGATTATAGACTTTTGATGATATAGCTCAAAGTTGATCAAAATGGTATAGCTATGAAGCATGAATTGTATCATTAAAAGAGCTGTAATTTACTGTCAGTAACAAGAGATATAAGTTCACTATTTAGCTGAATTACAGTGAAAATAAGTGCAAGAATTGTTCCAAATACACAAAATCACAACTGGTTTGTAGTTAACTTCATACCTTGTTTCATAGTGTAGTTTTAAGTTCGTCTATCTCAGAGTATTGATACTAACTTATCAGATCATGGAATACTGAATAATTTGATCTGTAACTGAAAACCAATATGAACACCAAAGTTGGCCTTAACTTTTATGTTAATTTAAGATATTTCTTGATGTAAGTATACAGTCAAAACCTATGGATGAAAAAAAGAGGTGTAGTGTGCCAAAAAAAAAGGACATAACATTGCTACATGAATGCTGGTTGCGATAAAAGGTGAAATGTACTTATATATTGAAGCCTTCGAAAGTGACGTTTCTGAACCTCTGGTGATATTTACGACATTTCATCAGCTGTAGAGATGTGTCAATTTCACCTAATTCTTATAGTTCAGTACGTGTTAATCTAATATATTAGTAAGATTTAGGGACTGTGGTGAATTTCAACTCAATATTAGTATGTTTATTAGATGCATCATACGGTGAGACAGTATCTTTTACTTAGTAAAGTTTCGGACATAATTTATTGTCCATATTCATGCCAGGTAACTACACAACTTTGAAACGCAGTTTATATAGTTCTAATCTTCTCTTTCTTTTTGATAAGGATAGTAGAATTTTTCATATATCTGGAACAGGTGTAGAGTCATTTCTTTTGCATGTGTTTGGGTTGATTCGATTCATAGGGCACATAAATTCGGTAGTGAACACGATCCGGTTTACCTACAAATAGAAAAGTAAAAAAAGGAAATTGGCGTCCCACTTATATTTTGGGCCTCTAGAAGTTTTTCTTCTAATATATTTCATAGAATTTTTCCAGTTTTACTAGTTTCAATCATTCCATTATCAACTAATTGTAAAACGTACTCTTGTACACTCTGAAAATATCTTCAAACTATAGTCAGACAAGTTAACAGTAAAACTCTGACAAAATATCACGGTAGATGACAATGAGCACCTGAGCGCACAACAATATATCATACATCTGTCACCTGCATAGTTAGCTAAGGCCGAATTTTTTCATACTGGCTGAATGATTTTGACACATTTATTTGACCTCACAGTCGTTGCAAGGGATTTAGTGAACTAAATTAGTTTGCGTAATTGGATCAATAGAATCTTCTAACCTACAAAGCTTGTTTCTAAGTTAGTTTGTAGGTTTAATTACTACTTGAATGCCAGCCTTAATGGATATTCTTCGTAAAGCTTCCGATGTGCCTTCTTCGTATGGTAACATAGTAAAGGGTGTGATCTCTCTCCCTACCATGTACCCATTATTACTACTACCACGTTTATCATTATTAGTAGTAGTATTATTAACATCTGTGTTACTTCTACTACTGCTATTATATTTTATGTACTCATCTATGAATTTAGGTGGGTATTTGAAGCGCAAAGTTTCCGTAATGTATTCATTTCCTTGTCTCAAATTCTGTATGCTACTAGTCAGCTTTTTAACCTTATTACTTAGACATTTGACCAAGCCTAGTTTAATTGAGATAAGATGAGACGATTTGGAGTCTAAGTAAAGATTTGAATGGTAAAGTTTCCTAGAGATACTGGCCTCTAGACTTCCATCTTGTTTACGGTCTAACTTCCAATTCAACATTTTGATAACAGTAACCACTTTACTTAAGACAATAATTTTCAATACAGTATGGAATTCTCAGTATAATATTTTAATGAATTTATTCATTTATGACAGTCAACCTTTTGTGAATAAGTTATACTGAATCACAGTGACATTTTGCAACTAAATTGAAGTCGATATTTCGCTAACGGAGTTGTGTTGGAACACTGGTTACACTAAACTGAACGAAAAGCAAAAATCAAACAAAAATGAATGTATTCTTCTTTATGTTCATGTTTGATTACTTTCGCCACTATTTCGCTACAAAAGTATTTGAGTATGCTAAGCACACCGCTCAAATAATAATCACGAAAGGATTTGCTTAGAAGCCTTATGCACCAAGAATGTTTCAAATACAGATGTTTAATCCGGTTTCTGTATTGTACAATTCAACCGAGGACTTTGTTACCTAGACAATTAGGGTGGTTTTGAATCCTATTACATACCGTTTGGTATTCTGTTCTGCACTACTCATTGACAAGAAATAAATCTTGGTATATAAATCCTCATGTTTTCTTCAAACATTCGCTTTTCAATACATTTAGATAAAGTATCAGGAAATTATAGGTCAACTGAAATGTGATATCACCAAACTGAATGATGACATCAAAGAGTTAAAAGGTGTTTATGAATCCAAAGAAAATCACTTATTAACAACCATAACAAAATTACAGGAACAACAAGAAATAATACATAACACTTCTGTAAATGATAACGCATTAAATTCAATCCAAGCAAATTTTGTAAATGAAATGAATCCATTAGTCGAGTTAATTAGTGAGAAATTATCAAATCAAATCACCCAATGGAGACAACAACAAATACAAGAAGCGGTTACATTTGCAAAACAAGAGGAGGTGAATCGTTTAGAAAGTGAATTCAAACAAAAAGAAAGTGTAATACGTAATGAGTTATTATTAAAGATAGAAGATGTAAGCTGAATATTTACTTGTGTGCAATAAGTTTTTTTCTCACTTAAAACAGCTAATGACCCTCATAAATTTCAATAAAAGAATATGTCGTTTATTTGAGAAGTGTGATACATTAGCACAATAAACTTACTTGTCATGCATACTTACATGAATGATTACAAAAGATAAATGGATTGAAAAAATAATCGCCATCATAAAGGGTCAAACTGTAGAGTTCAAATGATAGATGAAAAGAGAATATATTACACTAATCGCCTTTGATATTAAATTAAGTTACCAAAGGATGTTGAATGCAACAAAAAAGTAGTTTTTGAATATATGAAAAAATTCTGTATACCTACAGCTGCAAAAAGAACTAAATATATGTCTTCATTTCGTTTTGTAAATAGGTTTGAAAGATAGATACATACAATCCAACCTTGTTACCCGTTTCAATGATATATTCAGTTTTAGATTAAGTTGGACATTTATTGTCTAGGTTAATGGGATCATTCGCTTTGATTTTTGATTGCAGTCATTTTGGAATAAGCTTGCTTGCCCTTGCTTCAGCAGAACCCTTGATAACTCAGTTTAGATGCCAAGAGTAATTAATATACTATCTACTATCCCCCTTAACTAACAGTTTTATCCTTTATTATGTCGATTACTTGTTAAGCCCGTTTATCCTCTGTTATTAAGCATGCAAGTTTGTATGATAAGTAAGTTTGTGACCAGATTGTTCAAAATCTATTGCGCTTATACATCACACGATTCCAGATAAATTTTTTCAACTTAGTGGTGTTTTGAACTTGATGATACCGTCACATACATAATTTCAGTACAAATATATAACAATCAGTTTCTGAGGGAATTTTTGATTGTTTACTTGAGAAAAACTTCAGAATGCGCTGTCTCGTGCTTTTTTCCAGACGCATAATACAGTCAGTGAAAACAGATTATATACTGAAGAAATTCAGCCACCTTAAAAATTATTACTTTCCCCGTTGTGTATTTAGCTAACTGTGAGAGAAGTGTTCACATCAAAAGTTGAATTTCAGATAAGGGGATGAAATACAATCTTCTCTTAGATGGTAATAACATACATTGAGCATACGCATTCATCTTTTTTTTTAATAAAAATAACGGGAAGGGATGCACATGAAAATACGTTTTGGTTTTAGTGACTTGCTCATTTTCATAGCGTTAGATATTTCAAACAATTTCTAATTATTGAAAATGTTTACGAATGAAATAAGAAGATTAGTGAAATTAATGACCGAAGCCTGCATCATTCAGCATTTAAATCAGTAACGGCATCACTGAGTTGACTGGATTCAAAGTACTATTTCATGACGGTTTCGATGGATTCGTTAATCAGTTACCTACTATACAGTCCATGTCGATCAAGCCTTTCAAATCAGGTAGCCAGATTCAATTGAACTATGGTCTAAGAATTGAATTTTTCTGAAGACGCCGTGCTAAGCAAGAGAAACAGCCATAAGGCGCCAACATAATTCTGATGTGACTAGCGAACTATCTAGACCAGTGGGGTTCCTCTCTAACTACTTTTTTTCAGCAGCATAAATCATAAATTTCCCACAGTTGTAAACCATACATATGGAAATAAAATAAGCTATAAGTAAATAGATATTTAAACTGGAACACTGCATACGAATCAGTGAACAAAAACTCAGAAGATCAGTATAAAGAATACAAATAGGAGTAGGCATCCATCATAAACTCATTGGGACTGAGTCAATGTATAATGAAAAAGATGAGCTAACATACACTGACTGATTATTGGGGAAAAAAACTGTCAGTACTATTTAGTCTGTAGCTAAATCCAACATGATAGCATTTTCCCAAAATAAAAGGTTTAGTTTGTTAATAATAATTGAGTAAGTCAACTAAGCATGAAGAAAGTCAAGAATGAATGATTTATTAAAAACAGGCTAAATCAGCTAGCTAAACCGATTTAACCAATTGATCAGCATGACAAAAGACACCTCAAATGATCCAAATATACAAATTCAACTAATCAGCGGGTAGTTGGTGAAACAATTAATATCCGTCAGTTGCGTAGAGGTTGCGCTGTTATAGCTCAGATTCAAATATCTTTTTTAAGGAAAAAGTATTTTTTTTTTCAAGTTTTTGGTAGTTACATCTTATTTTATGTTTTATATTTAGGTTCGAAATGAAAAGAATCGAATGATTGAAACACTTACTAGAGCATTAGAAGGCTCAAAATTAGAGGTAGTGAAACTTCAAGCTGAACTTAAAGAAACTAGACGTATTGCCCTTAAAGAAGTTGATCTAAGACGTGAACAGTTATCAGAAATTAGTTTAGCTCGAGAAGCAGAACGTAAGGAATTAATTGCAGAACATGAACGTGCTATGAGTGAAGAACAACGTAAAAGTCAAGATAGTATAAAGCAGCTGAAACAGAAACATGCTGATGAATTGAAGTCAGTATCTTCGCAGGTGATTAGTTTTTTAACATATTTATTAATCAGTACACTGCACAGAAATTATATTTTTCTTATCTAGAACTTCGATTAAAGTGAAGAGCGATCAAATATAATGAGTAAAATAAGTTATCTTGATCCAAAATACGATACAAGCTTGTGTGCCACCATCGTTACATTTTAAAGTGATTTGTTTGTTTCATACTCAACCAAGGTAGAATAAATTACTCAAATGAAGTTGAGTTTTCTAAACAGTATCGTTTCGGTGGTAAAACTCAGCATTACACCAAGCAACATCGCAGGCTTTACTGATCTCCTTCATTGTGGAAAATATATCTTTCTGTAGCATACTTTTTCCTTGCTGATTGCTTTTTCTTTGACATAAAAAGCAACATCAGGAACGTCGTTTTAATGGACGAAATTTGAACTTTGCACACACTATTTCTAATATCTTATGTTCATCAGTCGGGTTCATCTACACGTCTGGAATGATTTAGACTTCCCCAATGGAGAACTCATTTTTCCAGTAATATACGTGCGGCACTGGGATCCTGAAATAAGTGAAACATTTGTGAATAGTGGGCAATCTTCAGGAAATGTCCAATAATTAGGGTTAGTAGTTTTATAAGAAAGGAGGGAAGCTTTATTGTGACTACTAAATAGAATTCAGTCTAACTTTTGAGATATTTGGGGCCCTGATCACACAACGCCTAACTGGAGCTCGAGAGTAACCAAATGGAGAAAAGTAAGCAAGTTATAGACTTAGATGAGGGCGTATCGGTTAGACCTTCATTCTTCGAAAGGTCGTGCAACACAGGAACACTTATTAGCACCCAACACGTCATATTTTTTGACCTAAATGCGGCATTCGACTCTATCGACCGAGAGGTGTTGTGACAGTGTTAAACTGTGAAGGGATTCGCTAACAACTATGTTGTGCTGATAAAGGTTATCCAACCGAAATCATTTATTCGTGTAAGGGATAACGGAGAGTTTTCATCGGAAGTGAAACATTAAGTGGTGTTCATACAGATGCCTACTATCACGATTTTTATATAACTTAGCTATATATCTGACGATTGATAAAGCCTGAAATATTTCTTACTTCTCAAGGATTGATTTAACCCAAGGAATACACGTGGCTGAGTTGAAGTGGATGGACGAAGTAGTTCTGTCAGATTAAGAAGCTGAACAAACAGTTTGTGCAAAAGTCTGAGTGTGTTCGACATGTATTTTCAATCTATAAAAAGTAAGATTGTAATTCATGACAGATATTCAGCTAACACTTGCTTAAGAATAGTCAATGAAGTGCTGAAACGTTTTGATCACTTCACTTACATGGATAGTTACATCACCCGAATGAGTTGGCAGGTGATACGCGACCAGTAACTGAAACCTTCAAGTAGTAGTAGAGCTTGCATATCATGATGACCCAGCAGGCTGCGCTGATGGAACGCTTGTCCTCTTGAGGTCCTACTATACAAGAGAGTTCTGTTAGACAGTGATAGGACAAAATATAGTTGCCGTTGTAGTGTGCATTGCTACGCTGCGACGGGGATCCGAGGGGGAAGTTGTACTGCTAGCTGAACGGAGTTTGAGAGCAGTAAGGTTTCCAGCAGACGACCAGCAGTCCATACTGATACTAAATTATCTATAAGGACAGTGGTGTTAGGGAAGATCGGCCCTAGAAGTGGCACAGTCCCCCCTTACCCCCTGGCATACCGGTACAAGGAATATGGGTTCATAGTTGGACTTGCAAAAAGCAGACTAAGCTGTCGAGTTTTTAAAAAAGGCTGTCACAGACCCCAAACAGATATCACTTAGGCTCTGTGGTTACGCACTAGCTCTTGTTTTTCAGGTAAATCAGGACAAAAGAGCCTTCCACGGTGTCAGCACTCAAGTGAGCTTATATTATTATTATTATCAACCTTCAACAACTTTACGCCCCAATCTTTCTTTATGTCTCTCGATCAAGATTCTTATTTCATCTTTTATCTATCTAACTCTTGATAACTGTCTGAGTTCACCGAACAGCATCCCTGGACTCTCTTCAAACTGCAGATTGAATCTTTCAACATCAGTATCTTCCATCAAACCGACCGACATGCTTCGCTAGCCAAAACTCTGACCTCTCAGGCCATGGATACGTGCTGTGTCTACGAGAGACGCACACAGGACTTAAATGTAGATATTCACCTACTTAGTGTGATGAGTTCACAAAATTCGCCCTTCGAGTTTCTGAAGGTTACATGGCTAGTTAACGCTGTCTTGCAGTTGTATGTATGGCGTTGTGATAAGGCAGAAAGTGCCCTTCTCGACAAGATCCTAGTTGACAGTTTCCTGAACACTTCTTGGCTGAATGGTGTGAGGAGGATTACGACGAATAGGGAAACTTGCCGTTGTCTTATTGTAATCTCTGTTTACGCACACACTGATTGAATTTTGGATGAGATTTGCCGAAAACTGTATAGCCTCTTACTGAAAGCCAGACATTCAGGTGTGATCTTGTAGCAGGTGATTTCAATGCGCAGGCGGGTAGACTAATTCAAACAGAAAGGCACGTAGGTGGAATCCCAGCCAAACGAACGGATAGCAGAGAACCCCTGTTACAGTTGTACTCAGACAGCCACCTATATCTGACCAGCACTAACTTCAGACATAAAGATAAACAGTGTCTGTCGTGGTGTCCACCCACGACAATTCAGAGGTGGATACAGATAGGCCGTATTACCACCAGTTGTCTCTGGAGAGCTTCGGTGGAAGACCGCCGCTTCTTCTGGAGCACACGTTTGAATAGCGATCATGCGCTGGTTAGGGCACGCATATATCTGCGCCTAAATGGACCCCAGGAAAACGACAGTAGCAAAGTCACAGAGAATACTGTTTAAAATTAAAGGTCGTTTCAGCATGAAACTAGCTAGTTATCGACAGAGTACGACATCATTTACCCAGAAGAAATTCGGCGTCATCTCTAGAAATAGCTTTCAAGACTGTAGCTGACTCTTAAAGAATAGTTAAAAAGAATCAGTGGATCTCAGTGGCTTCTGACTAATGGTTGCACGTGAACGTATCCCTATAGTCTGCAGGCACAGTCGGGAAGTCTATGTAGTGACCGTGAACAGTGGTAAAGAGTGAAGGCTAAAAGGATGGAAAAGGTAAAGGCGATAGGTAACAACAGAAAAATATTTATACTTATTACGGAAACTTGGTTGAGGTCAGTCGTTAGTGAGATTGCAACGCAGATGGATGGGTCTTTGATTCACTGGCAGGAGCGACGAATGGAACGATAGGGGTGACATTTCGAGGAACAGCTCAATTGGAATTCAGGTAATATTATATTGCCCGCAATTTAGCCGAATGGAACATTGAAATAGGGCCTACAATACTTGTGGAAGTTTAGAAAGCCGCAATTATTTGAAACAAGGAAGGAAAGCAAAGACAGACAGACCACTTCCGAAGGTATTTAACGACGGTGGTTACGAAGTATTGAGCAGGTTGGCCGAAGTGCTAGCTGGTCTATGACAATCAGATATAATCCCCTAAGGCTGTTCTCAGACACTGATTGACTGTCTTCAAGAAAGGTGAGAAATCCTCTTGTGATAACAACAAGAGAATCAGCCCGACGAACATATATAGTGTCTGAGACTCTCAGCTTTATAATTATCAGTTATCTCTCTTTGAAACAAACCCGAGAAAATCAGGTATATTTCAGACCAGGCCGTGGATGCAACGACTGACCAGATAAAAACTGTGCACCAGGTTCATGAACATAGGTACATTATCCAACGGCCAATACTAGGTCGACCTCAAGGTGTCATCTTACTCAGTTGAACAAGAGGTCTTATGGCACTTTTTCTCATTGGAAGAAGTGTCAAGTAGGTACACCACTCTATTGAAGGCTCTGTACTCGAACACTAGGCAAAGCAGGCAAGTTAGTCAATGAAGTTGTGAACCTCAGCCGACTGAGGTGGTTTGAACACATGAGCGCATGCCAAACGTCTTCCCACGTCAGTGTGCAACTGAAAACAAAGGTAAGATTTGGTGGAAAGAATAGGAAGAGTGGCCAAACGAAGAAATGATGTCAGTCGATGAAGCCTATGACGACTGATCTTAATCGTATGGGGAAATGAAGGCTGGTGCTGAGATGCATCCCTCAAGATGTTACGAATCAATGGTTGGAGAGTCTTGTTGATATGGTTCAGAATTGACGACAGTGATGTAGATATATAAACACTCTTCTTCATCTTCGTAGTTTTGGATATCTTCATTGACCATCCATCTATCCTCTCCCGTCTTTCACACATTTGTGAATAATATAGTGTAATTCATTTTCTACCCACCTTGTTCTTGGAAACTGATGTAGAATCCGAGAACTCTAAGTGGTGCATTGAGTCGTCTGTTTTTCATGAAGATGAATACACTTACGCATCTGTATTGGCTAGTAAACATTATCATGGTGACCTGGAGTAAAATATTATGTTATCTACACAAGGAAGTTTCATCCATTAGAAATGAAATTTGAGAGAGGATTTGCATCGAACATTTTTCTTCATTTTAGTAGTACCAGGAGAAAAGTTAAACAATGACAAGTGCCATATAAGTACTTTTGTAAACGAAAGTTTTGAAAAGTTTCAAGCTACTGGCTTTCTGTCTTATTTAGCCTGACTTTTCGCTACATTTTCCTGGTTTTGAAAATAATTCCGTTTTGTCAGAATTAAATAGGTAAGTGAGGTATCCATTGAACCAACTGTTTTAAAATTATGCCACATAACTGCGTAAATGAGCCTATTAAATACCTGAAATGAAGCAGAAAAAATGATTTATAATTTTTTTTTTATTTGCTACGTAATCTTCTCTGGGGTTTTTTCTCCATGTTTATATACTTAATGTATTCAAGATATAAATTAGAAATCATAGTAGAGTTCAATTCCTGTACTTTTCGTACTCGTTGAATATTTCTAAACTCATTGATTTTCAAAATCTTTTAAACGTTCACTCGACATTCTATAGATGGAGCACATGATTTGACTGAAACACTCCAAGTAACTATTATTTTTTAAAGCTGGTCACAGTGAATGAGACTTTATGAATTTTAAATAAATTCATTTTATTTTGAAGAAAAATGATGATATGGATTTGCCAAAACGTACAAATTTAACGAAGTGCATGAAAGTTTATTTATTTTTCGTTTTAGCTTATCTGGAAAAAATAACTTAATGGAGTAGACACCTTTATCAGCATATTATCATTAATAGATGTTATAAATTCTTAATGATTCACTCTAAAGCTACTTTTATCTTAGACTGCTATTATCACTTTTTATTTTGAAAAAATATAAAGGCTGATGAAAAGTTGATTGAAATGGAAAAAGAATACAAAAATCGATTCAAAGAAGCAAATAAGGTTTGTGAGTTTCATGATAAGTGTAATCCTTTTAGAAATCTGAAGGAAATATGTGTATTTTTAAAAAAAGTGCTCATAATACAGGCACACTTCCAATGGCTTAAAAATTATTATCAGAAAGCTAGTAGTATTAGTATTTATTGTAAACATACAAACATTATAGAGTAACTTAGATAATTAGTTTTGCTTCACATGAATACCGTTAAATAGAATTTAATCTGATTGTATGGGGTATAGACGAGAAGACTTATTTTTTAAACTAAATGGGCTCACAAATGAGTGAACCCATCGGTTTACATGCTTACTTTAACCTGTTGATTTTTTTTCTGTTGGCTACCACTTATTACTGAGTTTTTACGGACTGACAAGCACCATAAACAGTAGATCTACCTATACTGAACTGCGGTCTATTCCTAAACACGTCAAGTCAACATAGACCGCATCATGAAGAAACGTAAATGTGAAAATAATGTGATCAAAGTCTTTGAAAATCATAAGATAAAAAGAACAGGATTTCCATCAATAACAAGATGTGATGTCATGATTTAGATGAATATGAGGTATCGTCGCACCTATGCCACCATGACTGGTTTTGAATCACATCTCTTAGTTTCAATTATTGGTTATAGTTAATTTCAATGATTGTAAAACCAATTAAAAGAAATCCACTCATTTACCATTTCATGGTCTATTTTTTAAGTGACGGTCCTTTCAACCATATTCCAGTATCATCATAACATGATTCGCATTACAGATCATAACTCTCCATCAAAACTTTACGGAATTCAAATTTCATCAGCGATAAACTGTCAAATATTCACTAAGTGGTATCAATATCATTGTGTTGTCGACTGGTCTCAATTGATTGAAATTATCTTCAAAATATTCAACTTCATAAACTATTAACTGAATACCTGTTCGACTCATCTTAATTCACTGAACATCATAAATTAAATAAAACTGGAATACACTAGAGTGTGACCAGTTAAATAAACCATGATAATGCTATCACTTTAAGTAGCCTCACTTTAGTAAAACAGTATGTCATGTATTTTTATATGTTTTATAACCTTAAACTTAATTCAATTGTACGCACAAATTATTCTTTCTTTCTCTCATTAAAAGCGGCTGAATGAGAGTCAGGGAAAGATAAATGAATTAGATATTGTATTGCAAGGAGCTTTACAAGAAAGAAAACATATACAAGAAGCTTTGTCCCAATCTCATCAAACTGAAATTGAACAGATCAAATATAAACAACAACAAGAAATACTGGTGAGTGGTTATAATGTGATGCCCTATAGGAATATCATAGATTTCTATTGCTTTACATAAGGTAAATCATAAAAGTGGAAAAAGTGCGTGGATAACAATTGGGTTAAGAAGGTGTTTTTCTGGTAACCAAATTAATTATAAGAGCATTGAAGAGGATTTGCAACTGAAATATTGCCGCTGACTTCGTACTCCTAAATTAAGTGGACACAGATGATACACTGTCATGTTTCATTCAATAAGAAATACTGGCTGAGAGATGACTAGCAATGACCGAACAGCTTAACACATACCGTATAAAAACTCATCTTTAAACCAATAGTTTCTATAAGTGAAAAGTTTCCTTGTAACTACTTATACTTCGAAAACTGTATGATGATATGAATATGGCTTTAGATAGATGAAACATACTTGTATGTTCATAATAGTCAAGTCAGAATAGTCGATTGCAACTACTGGTTAAACTGATGGTAAAGAAAATACTGCAACTTTTTTCCTCAAAAATTATGATTCGAACACTCGGAAAATCTGACGGTAATGATGAGTTTCATGGATCGAATGTATCTAATAGCTAGTGATTCTGGTTATTTTAGAGGATAAAATGTGATATCAAGATTAGATGCGGAAACGCTACTGTAAACCAAAGGAAACCTGCAGATAAACTGTATTTCAGATGCAAACTTCAGTTACCAGGACAATGAGAAACATGAATGAATCATTGAACTCATTTTAAGATGCAAGAACTAAGAATTTATAAACCAGAATTAAATTTATGGATAAGTAAGTGTTTAAGCTGAAGTTATTAAACGTAGTCAAAGGGATATCTTACAAAATGAGAAATACGGAAATTAATTACATTTAAGGCGATAGGGAGAAAGGGGGAATGAACTTAATCATTTACAATGAAAATGCTAACTGAAACAGAATAAGGGAGATTTACAAATTAGTCAACTATGAGTGTAGTAAGCAAAATTAGGGTTTAACCCCGGGGTGAAGTAGTGTTCACACATTGATTCCCAACCGAGGAAAATTTCTCATAGAGTTTGAAAGTAACTTGCAGTCTAGTCTAACAAAAGAATCTACGTAACTATTAACTCTTCTATCTTGGTAGCATCTAGACAACAGATACAGTTACGCATTTACAGACTTTTCACCAACTATTTCTAGCAAAATAAAATTTACTTATGTCGGTGAAAACTTATTACAGTGTGCAATGAATCAATGTGTAATGAATATTTACGCTGATTTATTCCACACTACACAAAACCTTAATCCATGCGATCAACAACTACTTATTATAGACTGACGAATATATAGAAATACAAACAAAACTAAAACTTGCGTGTAAACGAAGTTAAATAGGAAGAGTGACAGAAGACATTCCTGGCGAACTCCACTAGTTGTCGACTACTCTTCAAAAACCCTTGCGCACCTGCATCAGTTCGAGTAGAGAGCTTTGGTTGGTGTAATATGCTTGTGTCATACTCCCTTCACAGTCAGACGCTGCTACAACACCGCACAGTCGACTGAGTCGAATGCCGCTTTCAGGCCTGCGTTCCAGAACCTGCTGCGAAGTGGAAATATGATCGATCCATCCTTATCCAGCTGTCTGAAACCTGTCTGCTTTTCTCGAGTTCGTTCTTCTTGAGCTCCAGTTAGGCGTTATGTATCTATGGCCCCTAGGATCTTGGACACAATATTAGTCAAACCAATTCCCTTATGACTGTCACAAGAAGGTTACTCCCCCTTCTAATAGACTGCAATAATCAATGAAGTAGACCAGTCTGACGGCACTACCTCTGATTTCCATACACTACCTAGTACCTCCATCACCCTTGTAAGCAATTTCCTACCTTCATCCTTGAAAACTTCAGGTGGCAAACTGTTAGATCGCAATCCTTTGCATCATTTCAGGTTAGACACAACTTTGTCAACTTGAAGGAGAGCTGGAGGACCGACATCTACATCTCATTCAGGTTGAGCAAGTGAAATGATGCTGATGGCCAGTTGAATTACGCTCTAAAACCTTCTTCCCAACGTTCTAGTCTCCTCTCCTGGGAAGTTATCAAGGTCTCATCCATTTTGGTGATCGTTTCACGCACCGTCATCGTCTTCTTGAAGCTTTTCCTAATAACCCTAAGGAGTTGTCAAGTTTTACCCAAAGTTAATACTTACTCCATCTCTCGCTCACGTCATGCTCCACTGCTCGTGATCGAAGCGAAGACTCTTGTTCAGTTCACGTTAGAGTTTCTTTCCTTCTTTACCGTGGTCAGATTCACCTGGACTCACTCTTCTTGCATCAGTCAGTTCGAATGACATGGAAATCTAATGATGTTTACTAACCTTCGGGTGTAAGTCACCAACTGTCTACCGCTGTTTTTACAGCAGACTTAATGACATGCCAGCTTTCTACAGGATGAGGATTGATATCATGTTCAGATAACCGCTTAGCTACCTCATATCCAAATGCATACTTGGAGTCCTTATCTTCCTATCAAGCACAGATGAGCCTCATTGCCTCTTGTTTCCTGTAGCTAATGAAGCGCAGATATACACGAGCCTGTCATCATCATCATTATCAACATAGGACCAGGCATTACTGCGTAACGGTCCGAGTTGCCACACCTCATATCAGCACATCAAGTAAAAAGGTAGTGAGGTGAAGGATGAAGATAAGTGAATGCAGTCAAAAGAAATATAAAGTACGAGAAGAAAGGAAGGAGGAGTGACAAAATGGTGAGATTCGGTATAGCGTTGTTAAGATGAGGATAATGTGTGTATACATCTGCGCCACTGAATTCGGTTCTGAGCCATATCACCTAGGGTCTCCAACCACTGTTGGTTCCTCTTGTCCCGTGGACCCCAACCACCTAGTCTGCATCGTCCTACATGGCTTAAACACGAACCTGTACTGGCACGTGATCGGAGCCCAAGCTGGTATTCCAGAAAGAGCGGCGATTCCCCTACCGATAGCTTGCAAAAATGTGATCTCTGTGTCCACCGTTGGTTTGAAGTCAGCGGACACTATGAGACAGTATCTTTCCTATGCTTGAAGTTAGTGCTAGGCAGAAGCAAGTGACTGTCGGAACAAAACAACGATCACTGTTGTCATTTCCTTGGTATGGGATTCCGTAAATACCTCACAGATGCGTCTCCGACTGGCTCAGCTTCCCTACTTCAGCAATGAAGTCATCTGCCATTAGGACTACATCTGAACGTTGCGCTTTCTGTAGCAAACTTGACAGATTCTGACAGAATCCACTCTTTGCATCATTCGAACTACAGTTGGTGGGTAAGTATGACAAGATTATGAATAGGTCCCGGTTGGTCTCATGCTTCTTCCTAGTCTCTACAGATCCATCTAGTCAAAAAGCACATAGACGGCTGTTTACTGGCATCCAGTCGAGAGGTGCACTTCCTGAGATACAGCTCAATGCTGTGCCTGCACCAGGAGAGTCGACTGGGTATCCGGATACTCGTAGGGTGAATTTTGAAGACTCACGACAAGGGCCAGGTGATGTCAATTTGATAACCACACTCGGGTCTTGTCTGTATACGTGTCCCGGAAACACCACACATCCATAGCCAAAGATTTCATAGCTCCGACGAGCGACGCTTGTCTGGTTTGGCAGAGTTCGGACGTTGAGAACTTCTACATGAAAGCATTGGCGGGGTCTTAAGAGGCTAGAAATGAGGTTTAGATGGCTTTGATTGCTGGGAATGGTTGCAGAGTGAGAGGTTTGGGAAGATGTAAGAGGCCTGATACTAAGTATCAGAAGGTGAAAGCAAAGGAGGAGACAGAGTAAAGGAGGATAGGTTATGTTTGATTGAGTCTTCTGTATCACTGGAAGAGTGTGCGCAGTTGACACTTCCCGGCTGCCCATACCGTGGAAGGCTATTCCTTTCTAAAGTATCTGAAAGGGAAAAAGATTTGCGCCAGCCCAGAGCTCATGGATCATCTGCTTGAGGCTTTTCACATGCGACCTTTTGCGGGTTGCTGTTCCGGGGTTTGGTTGTTCGAAAGCCAGCTAGAGGAACCATACCGCCGGCACCCGATTACCGTGGGGCAGGTGGAGTGTATTATTTTGGGGTCAACCTCTTCTAACCTCTCCTCTTCCGTTGAGGTTGCACCAGCGTGGCGCTGCTGCTCATCCAATGGAAACACCTTACTGCTGTCACACCTCATCCAGCTAGCAGCAGTGTGAATAAGCCCTCAAACCGTCACCACAGTGTAGTAATTAACACCACAACGGTAACTGCTTTTCGTCTTACCATTATTCAACAGACCTATTATCTCTTACAGACAGACTAACGGCAACGAAGGTGACCCACACTGGTGTACACCATGTTGGCTGTAGATTTAAGGTTGGGAATCCAGTCATAAACACCTCAACCGCACTCACAACCACCCAGGTACATGAAATTTTGGTAACTTCCATCAAATTGACGCAAGAGGTGAGGTTAACTTCGTGGATGTATACGATATCGTCGTACTAGGTGAAGATGTTGACAAAATGCAGGGTTTTTCTGGAGGCGTTGAGCAGAAATCTGAGTATTTTTGGATAGCATGCGTTTCGCATTTACCAAATGTAAGATCATTGTCAATATAGGACCAGGCATTACTGAGTAACTGTCCCAGTTGCCACACCTCACATAACTACATCAAGTAAGAAGGCAGTGAAGAGTAAGCTGAAGAAAAAAAAACTCAGCCAAAAGAAATATGAAGCATGAAAAGAGAGAAAGGAAGAATGAGAAAGTGGTGAGATTCGGTATAGCGTTTAAGATGAGGATATTGTGTATATGCATCTGCGACACTGACATCGGTTCTGAGCCATATCATCTAGAGTCTCCAACTACCCGGTCTGCATCGCCCGACATGGCTCAAACCAAAAGTCAAACACTTCATGCACTGATGCCATGTTTTGGTCTGGCCAACTCAGGCCTTTTTTCAGCCTGAACCTACTTCGCCCAACACTGAGCAGCGAGGCAGTCGGTGGCTAGGCATACGTAATACGTGTCCCAACCATCTCAGTCAATGAAGTTTCATAACTTCGTCAACTGATTTACCTCTACTCCCTAAGACTATACCTGACGTCTGCGTTACTCACGTGGTGACACCAAGGAATATGGCCGATACTATGAGGGCAGCGGTGGTTAAACACTTGAAGCCTTCGCATATCTTCCAACTTTAATGGTCGTGTTTCACACCCACACAGTAGAACAGATCGGACTGCTGCGCAGTACAAACGACCCTTCATAGACAATCGGACGTCACAGCGGCGCCATAGGTGGCGTAAGTTGGCAAAAGCCAGCCGAGCCTTTTGTATTTGTGGGAGATTTCGTCGGCCACCAGGGCTGATCCCATTTTCCAGGTAAGTGAAGTGGTCGACACATTCAATCACTACACTCTCTATTGTTAGCCGAAGCACTGTTGAAGACCGATCCTGGAGTAACAATTTGCATTTGGG